CCCGCTCTTCCACTGGGTGGTTTCACAGCTCATGGCTAAGAAGCAACTGTGACCGCTTTGCCTTCTGGAAAACAAAACTGACACCCTGATTTCCAGAGGGTCACAACCAATACACAGCATGCTATTTCAGGCTGAGTGTAGACGACCATGTTGCTTGAAGTACACACATCAAATGCTGAGCATGCATGCAGAGTTTGCTGTTGTCAGGGAATCAGAAGTTCAACAAAGCCAACCTGATCTCTTGCATAAAATTAGAAACAAAACCCTATTAAAAAAACTCCCTTGTCTCCTTAATTGCTTTGAAGCAGTTGCTTCAGAGGCTTTCTTCCCTGCTGTGCATCAGCTAAATAAGAGATACTTTTAGGTCCTTCATCTCTTCTTGTTTATTTTAACAACTGAAAGAGTTTATGCAACGTTTGGAACACAGAGCAGGTGCTCACTTAAGTGTCCATTTCCATCAATAATGAGGAGTAGAGTTGAGATGCGAGCCCAATTTGGCTTTTCTCTTAGATTTGTTCTCCTGTTTATTCTATATCTATCTTGTTAGGTCTCCTAACTCAACCCCATACCCACCCTAAATAGAGGAAGAGGGCAAGGCTAGTTGTAAAGTACTGATTCTAGGATGAAGCATAGAAACATAGGAGATGTTCTCAGGGAGGATGAAGCATAGAAACACAGATGATGTTCTCAGGGAGGATGAAGCATAGAAATACAGGCGATGCTCTCAGGGATGAAACCAAGGTGAGTTACCATGCAGCACAGATCACCTTAATAGGAAATTCCTATCCCCTCACCCTCTTTCTGTGCTGCTGTGGCCAAGAGATCCCCTCATTTGGGACTAGATGACTGGGAGGCACAAATCAGTGTAAGGTCATTCCACAAGTTTATCTTTTTGCATGATTTTGTGTACTGTTCAGCCTGAATGTAAATGAGAATTTTGAAATTCTATGTACAACTGATCACAGGAGAGAAAACTGATTTTGGATGATAGAAGAATGAGAGGAAAGTTGGCGGGGGGGTGCACTGGGAGGAATTGGGAGATTGGGATTGACGCATATACACTATGGCTGCTGTGTATAAAATGGATAACTAATGAAAACATACTGTATAGCACAGGGAACTCTGCTTAATGCACTGTGGTGACCTGAATGGGAAGGAAGTCCAAAAGGGAGGGGATATTTGTATATATATGGCTGACTCATTTTGCTGTACAGTAGAAATTAACACAATATTGTAAAGCAGGTATACTCCAATAAAAATTAGTTCAAAAAAAAAGAATGAGGGAGAGAGATCAGTAATCAAGTTAGAGATCTGTCATTTGCATCTCTTGCCAGGAATTGAGAAGAACCAACTTGGAAGCCTGTCTCTAAAAGGCTATGCTGTTAGGAGCAGTTACTTGCTCCTCTGACCTTCTAGAAAGTCACTGAACATAGAAAGTCACTGAACATATGCTCCTTCATGTGTCAGGACCCACAGAAACCCAGGAAGGAGTCACAGAATTTAGCCAGTGGACCGCAAACAAGTGTATTTTCCACTGCCTTAGTTATTTCAATGAGTTTCCATGATAAAGTTTAAGCGAACCCTCACCCGCTGCAGTGGAAGTGTGGCGTCTTAACAACTGGACCGCCAGGGAAGTCCAAGAAAATATATATTTTTAATCATATGAGAACTAAGATCATGCAGAAAAGCACTGTGATTCTTACTGACACTGCAGCTACTGGTGACCCAGCCTCAAATCATTTGTAAACCCAACTCCTTATATTAGAACTTCTATCAGTTAAAATCACGTTAGAGAGGGAAGAAAGTCTTTGCTATTAAATTTGATATTTAATGTTTCTTAAAGGGACAATAAATGAAAGCACCCTTAATAACATACTGTGATTTGACAACTTAGTAGAGTAATGTGCATTCCTGTGAAACTTCAGGCCGAGATTCTCTACAAGTTCATTATCATTTAGAATTAACTGATTCTAGAGCAGGGATTTGTGAGCTAAGTCCTGAGAACCATTCATCTTGTCGCTTTTTCTGTGATGGCCCATAAGCTTTTTTTAAAAAAATATTTATTTACTTGGCTGTGCCAGGTCCTAGTTGCAGCATGCGGTATCTGTAGTTGCGGCATGTGTACTCTTAGTTGCGGCATGTGAGATCTAGTTCCCTGACCAGGGATGGAACCGAGGCCCCCTGCATTGGGAGCGTGGAGCCTTAGCCACTGGACCACCAGGGAAGTCCTATTTTTTTTAATTTTAAATGGTTGAAAAGAAATCAAAAGCAGAATAATATTCTGTGCCATGTGAAAATTACCTAAAATTCAAAGTCAGTGTCCATAAATAAAGTTTTACTGAAATAAAGTCACTTTTTAATTTAACTTTTTTTAACAATATTGTCTATGGTGCTTCCAGGCTACACTGGCAGAGCTGAGTAGTTATAATAGAGACCATATGGCCCTCAAAGCCTGAAATATTTATTATCTGGCCCTTTATAGAAAACACTTGCCAATTCTTGCTCCAAATCATTAGTGCCCTTTTTTCCTCTGGGAATTTATTGAGCAAATATCCCACTGACAATCATGGTGGCCTAATGTGCAACTTATCCCCACAGTCGAGTATAGGGTTAGGGAAGGGGCATGAGAATATCTCTGAGGTGGGGAAAAAAGCATTTAAGCCAACATTTATTTACTCTAGCAGTGAGAAGTAACTTACACCTTATTAATAATTAACTTTCTGATGGACGTTGCACTAGGTGGCCTGCAGTCATGTGTCAGGATGCTCAACAGCCTTACCTGATACTTGGCATTGTTGGTTCATTTACAATGAATGAGAAGGTGACTACTTTATAACAAATCTTGTGTTAATGTAAGAGTATTCTGGAAACAAATGTTTGGAAATATTCCAATCACTATGTAATCTTATTGCCAAAATTTACATGTGCATAACCTCATAAGAATTTACACATCTACACACTTCCACAACTTGGAAACATAATTTTAAAATATTTGTAATAATCTTGTAAATATAGAGTTCCAGTGGGTTTTGGACTTATTTTATAATACTGAAATGGGTCATTATTCAGTTACTTTGCAAATAAAACTGATTCAGAGATGACAGAAATTTACTACATTTGATCAAAACCTTTGCATTACTGGTCAATGAAACTGAAAAATTAACATCATGATTCAGTAGGCGCACTTAGCAATATACCTTTATCTAGTTTGTTATATGTACCTTTAGGTAATATTTTTCAACTATGATAGCCAATAAAGTCAAGTATCAAAATGAAAAACACAGAGAGGAAGATCTTCAAATTGGTAATCCAAGATTATTTAAAATAATACGTATTTAATCACATCACAGTTACTAAAACAATTAAAGGAAAAATGATTAATTTCTATTAATATTTGAGAAGATATTATTAATGACAACTTTATATCATTTTTAAAAACTTTATTTTTTTATATTGAACATAAAATGTTAATTCACTAGAACCTGTATCTTACTTTTATACTTATTTGTAAATATGTGCTCAAAAAACTTTTAAATAGGGTATCAAAAATTATGGGGGCTTCCCTGGTGGCACAGTGGTTGAGAATCTGCCTGCTAATGCAGGGGACATGGGTTCGAGCCCTGGTCTGGGAGGATCCCACATGCCGCAGAGCAACTAGGCCCGTGAGCCACAACTACTGAGCTTGCGCCTCTGGAGCCTGTGCTCCGCAACATGAGAGGCCGCGATGGTGAGAGAGGCCCGTGCACCGCGATGAAAAGTGGCCCCCGCTTGCCACAGCTAGAGAAAGCCCTTGCACAGAAACGAAGACCCAACACAGCAAAAATAAATAAATATCCTTCTTTAAAAAAAAAAAATATGAAGACCACTGCTCTAATTCATAGAAAAGAATAATAACAATACGGCATCTATCATTGAATACCTATGTATATTAGACTATTTCTTGTATACAACATCTAATTTGAAGTCAATTCTTCCATAGAGGCATCATTATCCCCATTTTACTGATGAGAATCAGAGAATTTATCTTGACCAAGGTCACCAGCTCATAACTATAGAGTCTGGATTCAAATCTAGATTATCTGGATCCCAATCTAGGATTTTCCACAAAAAAGAGGGGAGAAACAAAACAGAAGAAAACCAAAAAAACAACTCTGTCAATTAAAAGCCTTTTTCTTTTAATTTTCATTTACAGATGAGGTGAAAATGTACCTTTTTAGATACACTTAGGTATCCTGAAACATTGAGAAAATTATTTGTGATTAGTAAGTTCAAAGATATCTGTAATGTTATACTCACAGGCATCCCCTACGCCATCAGCACACCAAGTAAAAGTGGTCTAGAACTACCCCATCCCCAAGCTAACCACTGTTTTTAATGGTATATTGACGTTTACAAAAGGTTACAGTTCAGCTAATACAGAAGTCTCCCTTAGCCTCGGGGGATACGTTCCAAGACCCCCCGTGGATGCCTGAAATCACAAATAGTACTGAACCCTATATATACTGTGCTTTTTCCTATATGTACTGTATATATATGTGATAAAGTTTAATTTATAAATTAGGCACAGTAAGATTAACAACAACTAATGATAAAATACAACAATTATAACAATATACTGTTATAAAGATGTGAATGTGGCCTCTTTCACACACACACAATATCTTATCATACAAATTTAATGCCTTTTGCATCCTAACTAAGCACTGTGTTGTAACTTTTGCAGTTTGAGG